TACAATGGAAGGGTAAGATGCCTTGGAAGAAACAATAGAATGGATAGAGAGAGAAAAATACATGGTTGGATTTGTAGAGAGAGAGAGTCATGCTTGGATGGGTAGAGAGAGAGTGTAATCAGTTTGTGTAACAAGAGTAAATACGATGGGCATGAATCTGAGCCAACGACAAAAACAAGCGTAATGAAATTTCTCGACCTCAGATCTGATATTCAAACCTTAGATCTGGGGTCGGCGAGCCCAGATCTGAGGTTGAGGAACCTAATGCTCTGATACCATGTTAGAAATTGTATTTCTATATATTTGGGCCTTAGATCCCCATGGAAAATTATTTCAAAATACTGCAAAGAACTCTCTGTTTATAAATTAAGTAAATAAAGAATATACAATACCCATATAAATATACGGCTAGTAACAATTAAAGATAAATACTAACGGTTATGGATAACTACTAACTAATCTGATCATAATCTAGAGACACCTAAGAGATATGCATCCATACATATACATATCTCAGCTGAATCTGTCGCGGATCCTCATCGAGTTCTGTTGGCTCTTCCAAGTGTCATCATGTGCTTGTTCTTTAAGCAAGAGACAATTGTTTCTATTGCTTCTATTGGTCATGCCATGCATGTGAAGACTTAAAGATCCAACTCGTTGTTCAAACTCCAGCTGCAGTATGTAAAAGCATCTTGAGTTTGAGGAGGAGTTTTAGCGTATGTATATTTATATTGATATACATCATTATGAATACATATTGAGATATGTATATGTATGGGTATATATCTCTTAGGTGTCTCTTGATTATGATGCGATTAGTTAGTAGTTATCTATAATCATTGGTATTTATCTTTAATTGTTACTAGCCGTATATTGATTATGAATTGGTTGCTATGAAGCTTTATCTCCATGCTCTTGTTTTGTGAAAGGGAGTCTTCCTTTACTGGTTTTGTCTTGTTATTTGAGAAAGGGTGGGACTTTCCCCCCCCCCACATTATTGTGCTTTAAAAGACTGGTCTCCTCCACTACATGGGGAAGATACGTGCCACTCACCATCATCTTGTAGTCTTTAGGGTATACGAGCTCAAAATACTGGAAATCTTTGAGTTGAAACTTGTTAGAGGCCCTAGAAATTTTTTGTGTAATACGGAAACTCCACTCAAAGCTCATACCATTGAAGTGATTTGTGATCTTTTGATTTGGACTCAAGAAACAATGAGATCCAGGATTCTTTGCAAAAAAAAAAAATCCAAGATGATGGGTGATACTACCACCTTTTTTATGAGAACTCTTGTTGTGATCCGCCTTATCCCTATTTATTTAAAAGATCCTGAGGTTTTCTTTGAGGTTTATATTCTTTTTTTTTGTGTTTTAAATTTGATGGAACAAGTTCTCTTTGTCCCTACTCAAAATTTTCACTTCTCTTCTTACATCCTCAATGGCTATGGCTATGGTTATCTTTGCTTTGGGTACGATCTTAATAGCCACCTCCCTACCCTTCAGCTCCCATTTCTTCACATTTGCCAAACAAATATAGCCAAAATTCCCCTGCCCAATTTCCTCCCCAGTTTCATACTTTGCTGTAAAATTCTTCAAGAACCCAAAGTTTTTATCCAAACCAAGTTTCGCCTCTCACGCTTCTCATATCTCTATTTGGTCTTCTGCTACCTACATGGGCATCTCTATTTGGTCTTCTACCACTTACCAGGACTTTTCTGATCTCTGTTGGGTTCTTGCGATAAACCATTGATGCCATGCTCCCTTTGATACCGAACTTTTAGTGAGTCGGATTTGAAACTACTTTTAAATCCACCTCTAAAAATGGCCTTTGAAAACGGCCGATCTGCACTATCCGTCGAGTCGTTCTTCGACTATCCGTCGAGTCATTCTTCGATTATCCGCCGAGTCGTTCTTCGACTATTTGCCGAGTCCTTCTTCGACTCTCTGCCGAGTCGTGCTTCGACTCTCTATAAAATAGCTTTTGTCTTTGTTCTGGCTTGTGTTTTGGACAGCGAGTTATTGAATCTGTCTCGGATCCTCACCGAGTTCTGTTGAATGTTCTAAGTGTCGTTCTATGCTTGTTCTTTAAGGAAGAGGCCATTGTTTTTATTGGTCATGCCATGAATGTGAAGATTTAAAGATCAAACTCGTTTATTTATGTAATTTATTGTATTGTTCAAACTTCAACTGTTTTGTGTAAAAATATATTGAATTTGAGGGAGAGTATTAGAATATGCATGTCGATATTAATATACATCATTATGTATACATATTGAGATAGGGATATGTATGGGTATATATCTCTTAAGTGTCTCTTAATTATAATAAGATTAGTTAGTAGTTATCCATTATTGTTGGTATTTATCTTTAACTGTTACTGGCTGTATATTTATATAGGTCTTGTATATTCTTGATTAATCAATAAGAGAGAGTTCCATGAAGGCTTAAGGCCCAAAGATACAGAAATACAGGTTTTAACAATATTCGCTAGACGTGGTAATGGAGGTCTGAACTCAATACATTTTTTGAGCAAAATATCGAATGAATTTCAATGACTTAAGATACTGGAGATTTGAATTATTTATTTATTTTTCATTGGAGAAACACCTAGAAAAATGGACATAGAGTTAGGTTTTAAGGACATGGATTTCATGGCTTGTTGTGGTAACAAGAAATTTGCAGAGATGAGCAGGGGAATGCATTTTACCATTCTTGAACAGGTTATTGTGTTGGGTTTAATGATAGCTAAGTCATTGTACCCATATTTTCTTCTAAAGATTAAGGTATTATGATAAATAGAAAATTAACTTGTTTGGAAAGCAAGAAAGTGATATCTTATAAGAGACTGAAGGAGGGCATAATATGCATCCTTTAAGGGTCACACCTTTGGGGGTTATGAGAATAGATCTCCAATATGGAGATAGGTCTCCAAGAGAGCAAGATATGGCCTCCGAGAGAGATGCAGTATTCCCATGAGTTTTGCGTTGGTTAACTTCCACTTTTAGATAGAAAAAAATCTCTATATTGCTCTCGAGGTTATCTTCCGGTAGCAGCATTGTGGTGGGAGAGAGGTTGATCAACGGTGTTTGGTCGAGGGTGTGGGTTTAGCAGGAAAGATCGGTAATGGTTTTTAATCGATGTTTAAATATAGGTATTATCTCTTATAACCTAAAATTGTAATCTTCATTGTGATAGCGGATTTCTAGTTGTCGAGGCCGTGGATGTAGCTTTATGGGGTGTTGTTGTAGTGTGCTTTTTATGTTTGTTTTATTTCTCGCACTCGATTTATAGTTATATTCATCTACTTCGCGTTTAGCCAATCATGTACACTATCTTGGGTGGGATCTCGGTATATGGGATTCCCGGTTCCGCAAGCTAAGGGGTTCTCGAGATCCTTACATATTGAAGGATCAAGAAATATTTGTTTTAACAAGGTTTTGATTCTTCTTTATCGTTGTAAAAACTCTTATTTTCCTAGTTTTAGTATGATTCTATAGGTTTTTTTATTCTTAATCTGGTATTCAAATCCTATTCTTTTGATGAAGCCATGGGATTTAGATTTTGATTTATTTTTTGGTGATTAGGCCTAGTTTCTTATCATGAAATTTGTTGGGGTTGATCCATTTTTGTTAAATATCATCATATTGTATTAGTAAATTCTAGGTTATGTTCCATTTTTTATTAAATATCGTTGCATTAGACTGCATCGCATAAAGTTTGTTTCTTTTTGTTAAGATTTGTATGATTTTAGGTATTAGTCAGTGTCGGTTTCATTTGACTACCAATTCTTATCGTTATTTGAAATTTACAGGCCCTTCTCTTTTGTCTTTTTAATTATTTTGAAATTTACGCGGATTATATTGGCATTATCTACACTTCACTTAATCTATAATAAAAATTTTGTTGGTTTTTAGTATATTAAACTAAAAAAGATATTTGATGTTTACAATTCTGGCTTTTGTTTAATTCGATGTACAATACTCCTAATAAAGTTTATTCATTTAGAGGTAAACTTTATAAGTTCGTCAATTTCTAAGTTTTTTCTTGATTTTTATGGTAGATTATTGTGATCTTTTCTTTCTTGTGGATAAAAAAATGTACGAAATTGCCAAAACAATTTGACATTTTGCATAGTCTTTCCATATGGAATTTTATTGGGTTCTCACCCATCGTCTTCTGCTGCACCTTCCACTTGAGAGAGACAGAGAGAGGGAGAGACAATAGACGCAAGGGAGTAGTGTGAGGGAAAATTGTTTCATGGGGGCTGGATCGCATTTTTACTTATGTGGTCCACAAGTATGTAGTCTATCTAAAAAAATTGAAACTAGCGGTCCAAATCTTTTCTTAATAGAATTATTATTTTTAGTTTCTTAAAATTTATTTATTTATTCATGTTGCTGATCTCTATGTTAGATATTACATATCCTTAAAAATTAAATGCAAAAATCTATCTAAAAAATAAATTTATTAAGGGGCCCGTATTTCTACAGGCTTGGACCGCATAAAAACCACGTCCCTAAGAGAGAGAGGGAGAGAGAATAGACGTCTGGATAAAAGAGAAAGGGGGTTTCCTATGCTATATGAGCTAGGTGCCCCGGTCCATATTGACCTAAGCTTGATAAATCCTCACCGTTCAAAAATAATAGATGGTGAGGAGGGCTGCAGCCCCACTTATATTGATGGCCTACAGCCCTATCAAATCATTTTTTTAAAATAATTCAGTAATAAAAAGAAAAAGTTTACGTAGAGCTGAAGCTCTAAACAATCAAATTAGAGCCCCACCCCAAAAAATTAACTAGAAGAGGTTGTTCTTATGCTCAAATATCCTCAAATTGATCATCTCGACATCAAGATGCATGGACATGAAAAAAAAAATAGATTTCAAGTTTTAGAAACAATGACCGTCCATTTTCGATCTACATTATTTTTTAAGCTTTAAATTTTATAATTAGATGAAAATATTTTTTGAACCACATTTCTCGACACTATTTGAAGGTGCACTTACTTTGATTGTCTACACAAACCACCCGTAATAAAAAGAGCTGAAAATAATAAAAAAATTGCCTTGTCCTAAGGACCCAGACCGAGCAAAAACAAAAGATAAAAGCATCTTCTTTCTATCACCCACAGCCAACAAACCCAACGCCCCTTCTATCCCCTCTAAAATTTCTCATCCACAGGAATAAAAAACACCCAAAAAATAATCAAACGAATTGAAAAATGATGAGGCAATCTTTGCTAGCTTGTTGTAAACTCTACATCTCAGAAAGCCGAAATGCCTCGGCTCTTGACTCGATCGAGCGGGCCGCCAAACCCTTCCATCCCCAAGCTGCCATCGTTAACAAGTTCCAGGACTTGCCCTACAACCGAGTCGGTTACACCCTTGTTGGTCAAATCTCAGCCCTTGGTGCCCTTCATCGTGCGGCTCTTGCAATGGTAGAAGCCGCTTTCCGAGTCATCAACTTAGAGTCACACACCGGTTCACACCCTCGGCTAGGCGTGGTGGACCATATTTGCTTCCATCCTTTGGCTGAGGCTTCGCTTGAAGATGCGACTCGGCTCGCTAGATCCGCTGCGAACGAGTTAGGCAACAAACTCCAAGGTCAGTTAACCCCAACATTTCTCAAAAGAAATGTTCAGCAAATTTTGGGATTTTTTTCCTTTTTTTTTTGGGATAGAAACACTAATTTCAAATGGGATTTATTATTATAATACGGTCTCTTTTTAGTACAAGGAGGTCATGGTATGCTTTTAAGTGTTAGACAAGAAACCAGCTTGGTATGTGTTGGAGAGTTAAAAAATTTATTACCATGGTTAAGACATGTATGTAACTACCGATTTCACATCTAATAACTATGAGACCTCTTGTTTTAACGAAAAATGGTCTTATTATATACTTTTTTTTTTCGAATGGAGGCACACAGTGGTCTTATTATATACTTTTTTTTTTCGAATGGAGGCACACAGTAATACCTGAACTATGGTATTTATGTATCTCAGCCTTGCACTAGCACTGTCCATTCAATGGATGGACGGTGTTGGAGAGAGCGAATGGAACCCACTAGAACTGGCCTTAACCTATGTGGTGAGTACTGTGATCAGTCGTGCATCCTTCAATTGGACATTGTTCCAGGGAATACCATGCTTCGAGCAGTACCACTTTCTGCCCATTCATTCATCATCATATGGAGGTTATTTTTCTCTTTCGGGTACAGCGATAGGATTAGAAGTTAGATTGTGGCAATCATCTCACACATTAATCCCATAAAAACGAAAAGTGTTCTTGTCAATGCAGTGCCAACCTACCTCTATGGAGCTGCGCACCAAGGTGCCCGAACTCTCGATTCCATCCGCCGAGAGCTTGGCTATTTCCATCCAAACTTCCCCCAAGACCCCAACCACTGGACTGGACCCTTGATTTCCATGGCCTCCCTTCCTGAACCCGATGCAGGCCCAAAATTCGCCTCCCAAGCTAAGGGCGTTGTCATAGTGGGTGCTTCCCCTTGGGTAGCGAATTACAACGTACCCATTTTTACAGAAAACATCAAAATTTGTCGTAAAATAGCAAGAAGAGTGAGTGGACGAGGTGGCGGATTGGCTGGTGTTCAGGCCATGGCTTTGGCTCATGGAGAGGGAATAATGGAGATTGCTTGTAATTTGTTGGAGACGAGTGTTGGGGCTGAGGAGGTGCAGAGGAGAGTGGAGAGTTTGGGTGGAGAGGAGGGTTTGGTTGTGAAGAAGGGTTATTTTACTGATTTTGATGAAGAAAAGGCGGTTGAGAAGTATTGGCAACTTCTCCACTAGAAAGAGATACATAATTTGCAACTGAGAATAGGAATAACCATGAATGTAATTCGTGAAAATCTCAGCCTAAGAGTGATGCTATTTTTAGGAAATCTGAGTGTTGAAACTTATTAGAGAGAGGTGTAAGTTGTAATTGATGAAAGAGAGTTCGAAGAGCGATCACGACTGTTGATTTGCAGGAATTTTGGCCAATGAAATGTTATTCTTTCAGGAGATGAGAGTGAAGATGAATATATAAGTCGTGGGAATTTCGACTGAGGAATTGGATTGTAAATTACTCATTGACAACCACTGTTGCTCGCACACACAGACACGAGTAAGTTGGTTTCTCTCCATTTCCTAATCCAAGTTGGTGAGCTGCCGAAAATTCAACCCAAACAAAAGAAAAGATCAAGAAGTCCAGAAACAAAAGAAAACTTCTAAAATGAAAAAAGGAAGAGAAACCAGAAAAGTTTTACAGCCCAAAAATCCCACACATTACCAATCATGTCAGATATGGGTATGGGATTACACGTAATTAAACCAACAAAAAAAAACATTCAAAATAATGAAAATCGAAATCAAACAGCAGTAATTAAACCAAAGAAAAAAAAAAAAATTTCAAAATAATTACAGTCCAAAAATCTAAATCCAATTTTGTAGGAAAATTGTTTTTGTAAGAAAAACAAAGGAAATTCTACAGCTCGTGAACTATAACTCTCCTTTATGTACACATCGATCATCCTTACAGAGGGCATTGTTTGTCCTGAAATTCCTTCGAGCAAAGCTTTTCAAACAGGCCTTTCAACCTCTCTGATCCAGGACCTGGCCTAAAGACCGAGTCATCCCCTCGAACCAAACATGGGTCCTCATTGGACCCAACTCTAGAGCCACCAGCACACCAGGCACCAGGCGTGAACCCAGTGTGAGCTCGACCCAACAACTCACTATCAATCTTATCTAATACAGGATCATCCTTCGCAAACTTTCGAGCAAAAGGAGCACCACTTTGCACCATTTCTTCAAAATCTTTCATGGACAGAGAAAGTGGGTGTTGCCTAGGTGGGTTGTCCCATGCAATGTAGTGAAGGTCGTGGTTCAATGTGGTGTTTTTGAAGTCCTTGGAGTTGCATATGACGGTGTGGAAGTAGCCTTCAGGTGAAGAGACAAAGTTGGCATAGTACATCAGGATGGTTCGGGGAAGGTTTTCCCAACCCCATATGCAGTACTCGAGGAAGGGTCGAGCTAGCATGACCCATGCAGAGCCTGTGAAGAAAGAAAAGCCCATGAGAGTTGAATCACAAGTGCAGAAGCTCCGCCACCCCCTCTCCCACCCAACACCCCCAATGTGTAAAAAAATCTCCCCCCCGCCTTCTTAATTTCTCTTCCCCAGGCACCCGTACCACCAGATAGGGATACACACTCACACAGAAATCACCCTCCCTCCCTCTCCAACTTACATTTTCTAATATCAATCTCCCCATCACCCAGAGTCATCGAGACTTTTTCATAAATGCTCCCGAAATTGCTTTCTCAAGCAGTTTCACCCCCCATTGTGTGACATAAAACAACCCAAGGTTTTTTAACATATCTCTAGATACTGTTTGACAAAAACTCCATTATTCCTTTGAATCTCTAAAGCAAGTACTTAGTAGTTACCTGTAAATAAAGCAAAAGAAGTAGGAAGACTCCGGCGTTGAGATGCCCAATAAATTTCTGCCTTTTTAGAGAGATAAAGTCCTGGGTCTACAATGATTGGTTTTGCTCTTTGATTCCTGTAAAGAACCCAATTCCTTCATTAGTACACAACCCAAAAGCTATAAAAAGTAATCTGAAATGCCTATGATGCACAACTCTTGCTATCTGTCAAAAATCCAATATTGCTGTGTGATTGACCAAAGAAGGCACATTAAAAGCATTTTGCTGAAGAACATGAAAATTGGTATCAGTTGTAACTCATTATACTTACTCCTTCCAACCAACAATACGGGTGTGCTCAATAAAGTTGAGACCCCTTGACATGTGGGACATAGCATGCAGCAAATCTGCAAGGCAACCCCTTATGTCAGCTTCTTATAAACATATGATAACAACTTAAAGCAAGCGCATAAATTAAAGAAGCAATAATAGAACACTGCAGAATCCACCAAGAAAGAATAAAATTCAGTCCATCGAAGCCAAGATAATAAAATGCAAGGCACTCATTTGGGGATCACTTTATCCTAAAACGTGTATAAATATTGTTCCTTTTTTTTTTTTTTTTGTGAATCATTTTTATTGCACATCATGACATCAACAAGCCCAATGTGGAAATAATAGCTTTCAAATTAGAAATGAAACTTAGTTCGAAGATGAATTGAGAAATTCAAGGTATCTCAAAATTTTCAAGTAGATAAACAAATTTGTTTTCTTCCACATAATAATGCCTCCACTTAAAGATAGTATGAGTTTCAAGATTGTAATAAGCATGGCGAAAAATGCCTATAGACCCAAACCCAATATGTGAACAACTATACCCAAGGGTAATGGGTTAGATATCTCCAATGACCCCAAAGAAAAAGAAAAGTTGATAGACGCACTAGAAAACCTCTGAGCTTCACAGTATGGAAATCCCCGCTCTGAACCATATGACCACGAAAAAGGAATCAATGCCATTAGTGACTAGTGGTTGGGTTAACCACAGTGATTGGCCTTCAGCCCAAGATGAATGCTCCACATCCCTAGAGATCCAGTGTTTAGTTGCAAGAGCCCTATATTAGGGCCAATGCCAACACCATTTTATGATCCTAATCAAATCCTAATGCAAATATTTCTCCTTCCATGGTCACATTCTCGAGGACATTTCCAAAACTCATTTCTGGTTACTCTCTTCATGAAGAATGATGCTTCTAGACCTTACTGTACTTGATATCCCTTCTGTATATCCCTTCTCTTCCAACTAATGTCTTCTAAAAAAGAGGTTTCCCCTTGCACCCATAAGTTAATCCCCAATTTACAATTCACCATACAGGGGATGGAATTGGCTCCATTGCTCCCAACTCCATGCATATGGCAAATGAGTGTCTCTAGTGCCGCCCAAGGCCTTTGAAAACATTATACAAATGTTTTTAACTCCTAAAAGAATTCCAGATGGAAACAAGTGATCCACAAATTTCATCCCCTTTCATGCACCAGAGACTCATTGGAATACAACAATAGTGACAAGTCCCCCTGTTAAAAATCTACCCCCATGGCCCAGCAGAGACAGAGCCTGAGACTAGAACTTCTATGACCTCCCCTCAGGTCTGCAAGAACCTCATACACTAATTTCAAGAGAAGATAGCACATCAGTCGCAATTCCCCACTACTCAGTTCTCCATACAATTGCACAAGATGATGACAAATTCCTTCAGGCCTTCACCCTACAATGGAATATCATATTGGAGCTTCTGAAACATCTTAATAAGGGAGGAGATCCAAAATAAGAGAGATTGAATCAGAGGGGGAGCTTGATGAAAGTTGCTTTACGAAGGTTTGCCCTCCGTCCTAAAGACCTTCACATATCTTTTCACCTCGTTGGTGGGATCTTACACCTCTCCAAAGCCAGTATGCAGAGTTGTTTCCTGGGTAAACTCATGAGCAAAATATAAAGTACGACATTAAAAGCAACAAACGAAATAGGCAATCAGTAATCGCTCACTTCATGGCTTCATTATTCCCCAGAATTGTGCCCTCGTACCTCAACTCAAATAGTGCAATCGAGAATCATTTTTGTGATAATAAGAGTGATCATCTCAAACCTTTAAACTTTGGTTCAGAGAATATCTGTGAGGAGAGACTTAAATGAGTCTTGGAGTTGGAGTCCTAGGGACCTTGCATCTGTCAAATCTGTGCATTGTAATTTGTGGTAAGAGTCAAGTTTGTGGTCTGATTCAGTGGATTTAGAGAGCCACATGCCACTGTTAATGTGGTTCACTTACAAGAAAAAAAACTTCAATGATTGAAGCCAAAAACTCAATCCTTCTCCGACATGTCTATATGTATTACTACTAAAATTTTACTTATATATTTAATTTTCAACCTTAATGCATTAGCGTCGCATGGCTAAAGTGGTAGTCTGCCTGTATTTTCACTGAAAATGAGAAAGTCCCAAGTTAGAAGCCGACTAATGGTGCCTTAAGCTAAAAAATTTAAAATTAGCTTATATAACAAAATTGCATGTATTTTTCTATCAAACATGTGGTGTTTGCAGCGATAGAGCAGACCGCCCCTTATACTTGAAGTTCGGAGTTCAATCCTCATGAATTACATTTACATTTTATATTAAATAGCATTTTAAAAAGTATTGGTCTAGAAAACCTTAATCTTTCCCTTAACCTGTCCCATACCCGGGTAAAGAAGCTAGGTTGTGTAAGGTTAAGGTAGGTAGCCAACTTAAAACTTTGCCAAAACTTGTCATGAATCCTGAACCTACAGTAAAACATTCTAAGAAGTGTATAATAAAACATCCATACATCTCTTTCATAAAGATGTCACTCATGAGGTTGTAGAGAGGCTGCCCCTTATACTTGAAGTTCAGCATTCAAACCTCATGAATTAACACTTAGCACTGCTTTTTATTATTTTAAATTAAAAAAAATAGTTGAGCTCAAAAAACAAAAAGTCTGTTTGCCAGGATTTGTACCCTGGACTTCAGGGTGTGAAGTATCAATGTTCACTCCACCACATAAGCCATGGCACTTTAGTGAAATAAAATGGAAGACTCCTCTATATGAAGGGTGAGGTTTGTATAAGGTGTCAATCTTATACTACTGAAGTAAGGTGCACCTCAAAACTGTGTTGAAAATGAAGTTTTGGTGCCGCAAAGGCTTGTGATGATATGAAAATCTATTGTTGCCCCCAATTAGGAAATTTAAATTTCTAGAAATAGTTACGATCAAGAAGACCTATAAACACTTGAAAATCTTGAAAACGGACAGTCCAAATAATGTGTTAGAAGATGAACTATTTTGAGGACCATAAATCTCCTTTTTTTCATGTCTATGAATCTCATGGTCGAGATGATCGATTTGCGGGTTTTCCAACATAGGAACAACCTTTTCTATTGGGTTTTTGAGGTGCACCTTACTCGTACAGTATAAGGTTGACATCTTATATAAACTTTTTCCCTATATGAAATAACAATACATACTAAAAAGTGATGACCATCTCATACATAGAGTAGAATTGTCACTATGATACCAAGTCAAAGGCAAGGTGTCTAGGTAGAAGTGTCAATATGATACCAAGTCAAAGGCAAGGTGTCTTGGTAACAGTGCATGCATGTTACCTTTCTTAAACATATACCATGTTCTTGCTTGTTCCTTCTTTTCATAGGCATGGAGGTGGTTAGAAAAGGGGCATAGCAAGAAATCATCAACATTCTGTTGGACCATACATATGGCGATTGGATGGCACATTAGGAAGGAATAACATCTTCAAATATGCTTTTCAGAAACCACATGCCATTTGAAGTTATAATATGAATCTGTAACATCCAACTAAATGCAGTGCGCGTCATAGAATGCTTCACAAGCAGCAATATTAATTTAGATGAAGCTTCCAGAGGATGCCCAGATTTAGTGGGGGGGAGAGTGTGCGTATTGAAGGCAGAAACCCAAAAGGACCTAAAAGGGGAGAATTTTGAAGCTATCTGGTATTGCTGGTATTTAGAAGATTGTGTGGGCTTAAAAGCCCATGTGGCCCTTGTAGGTGTCAGGATCTTGGTCGGAGATGGCAATAACTTAGATGTATCAATGGCTTAACTTGGATGTTATTCAGTGATTAGAAAGGAAGCCCCCATGTCATGGAACAAAGGGAATCTTTAGAGAAATTTCATTCCTATCATCTAATTTTTCTTTTCTGATTGTCAACCATGTATCTAAGGAGGTAAATATCGTGACAAATAGGTTGGCTGATTTGGCTGTATCTAACAACAAGGTTTGGAAACAGGATTAGCTATATTTTCCTTTTCAGAACCTTTCAAGATTTGACCATAAAGCATGTATCCATTAAAAAATGATTTAAACTTTGAAAATTGCCCAAAAAAATAAAATTTTCCAAAAAAATAAAATTTGAAGAAAAGAAAACTCAACCATGAAATCCACTGCATGAATATGTAACCCACCATAGAACTTTGAAAAATAGAAAATGTAGCCCCTCATAGGATGGATCACTGGACAACAGTTTCATCAAAATCCCTCTAGCAGAAATGTTTTGGAGCTCAGAATAAATTTAAGAAAATTGCGTGCAACAGAAGACTTTTTGAAATTTATTTCTTTTTTGACAATTGAAATTTATTTCTTATTAAAAATTTATCATTTCTTCTTTCTAAAATTTAGAACCAAAAGTTTAGCATATATCTTCCACCTAAGTAAGTGAAGGAAAAAACCTTGTCTTGACATTCAAAAAAGGAAAAAAAAGAAAGAAAAGGCCTGTCCCGACAAATTCCTTTCAACATCACACTTTCCAACTTAAAGTCATCCCTGTATTCATCCAAAGCCTTCCATTTAGGGGTTTCGCTCTTGGAAATGGGATCAGGGCATAAGGGCTGTATCATCAACATCCAATGTCTGGACAAAAGCTTTCTTACCAAAAAACAAAAATCCCCATAGACTTCCAAATTCGCATCTTAAAACAAGGAGACTTGAAATGAGATTTGTCCAATAAATAAAGTGCATGACGGCAAATTCTTGCAGCGCTCCCAACACTATCAGATGCCCCAACCAACAATGTCCACAATGCTCTCAATAGCTTCATTCTTCTTGCACAACCAGCAGAAACATAAAGCGAGACAAGGAACTTAAAGCATCGCACAACAATTTGAGTCTCAAGTTTGACTGGATAACCACCAAGTCGGATTAAAAAAAGACTAAAGTTATGCGAGCACTAAGGGCATGACTCAGTAATTATAAAAACTATTTATGAAAATGAAGATTAACAAGGTACAAAAACTTCAGGATAAAATTTGGATAATTTTCAGAAATAAATTATTAAAAAAAATTAAAAACATAAAAAATATAGAACTGACATATTGAGAAAGGGGTTAGAACCAGGGGGAGAGTACAAATGGCTCTCTGTCAAGATAGGAGGAATATAATTTAAGAAATGGCTAATGCAACTGCGGAAGAGACAATGTGCAATCACTATTTTGTTGGGAGACACATATAACTAACAAGTTTCAAGAGAATCATCCTATTTATGATGAGAGGAGCACCATAAAGAGTGCAACACAGAAAAGGGAGTCAAAAATTCCAAATGTTATCTAATGGATCAGCTAAGTGAGCTACTCATTTTGCATATTCAAACTTTCGATTTTTCATTTATATGGCCAGATGAAAACCAGTAGTATTCTACTATGGTCCAGACTTCAGAGACCCAAGAACAAAAGTGCATATAGAATGATATAAATGTTGCCCAAAACTATAAATGAACTACTGGATCATGAAATTAAACTGTGCATTATGAATGTTAAACATAATACTATTGTCAGATAGAAAACAGCAGGGCTAAGGTTCAGAGACCTAAAAATGAAAGTGGACATAGAATGCCATAGCATGTCGCAAAAAAAGCCACCAACCATGTAGCATGAATATTGCACCATGAAGTAAAACTACCCACTTTGCATGTTGTTTAGATTGTTTCTTCATGACTATGCCAGACAGAAACCAATATCATTCTGGAAAAATCTGTAGCATTCCAATGGGAACGAGATGCGGATCACCACAATTATCAGAACAAAGAGAAGATCCTGCAAGAAGATGAGAGAAACACTGGAACAGAAATAGTCTTTAAGTTGGAATTTTATCGCATATTAATGATGAGAGAAAGAGCACAACAAAGAAGAAGGTTATAAATGAGACCACAGGGGCCTAGAGCAAGGAATATGCCGTTCAGGTTAAACTTTTCGAGTAACGATTTTCTTTCAACTCTCTCTGTTGAAAATATATAAAGACTCGTCCAAGTTGGTGCCAAAACTGACATGGAAATTTGAGTAAGTATTGTTTTTTATTATTTGCTTTTTATCCTCTTCATGGGGGATCTGTGAGTATCCTACATTAGAGTAGACTCTAACGAGTTCCAATTGGACTCGACAAGTCAGTGAAGTACAACCTAGTAAACTAATTTCACTCCCACCCATATAAATGTATTTTCCTAGAACAAGGGTACCATGAACTGGAGTTAAATTAATCCCTCAATAATTTGATTTTTCTCAATCTCACTTTTTGGGTCGTTATGCAACAGGAATCAAACTTGGGACGCTTTTCTAATGTCACCATCAAATCTGAATGAATCCACGACAGGGAAATTTCCACAACACACTTCCTCTATAATGCTAGCTCAAATAATTTATCAACTCTGCAATCAGGCTATTGTCCATTCACCAATAGCTCATGAGATAAAACAATTTTTCCTCAATGTGATATACTAAAACTTTAGCTGGAAACACCTTGCAGGTTCATTTTTGGTTAAGGAATTTCTCAGGGTCATATGGCAACCAAAAAACTTACACGATAGCAAACTCCAATGCGATCATTTCAACGCAGACTTAGAAGCCCACTCTTCTTGCAGTGTAAACTAACAGCAATGCATTCAAGAATGTATCCATTCATTTTAGTGAATTTCTCAGCTCTCAGAAACTCAAATACAGAGCAATGAAATGCTAAACACCACATAGTAAGGAAACCACACTTTATATACATAAAGTAAGAGCACAACAGCTAGAGTAATTATGAAAAAAATTTATTATAACAGATACAAAATAAGCCATCAATATGCCTAAATTGCTCCTCTTATGATCCAATAAAGAAAAAGTAAACGGGGAAAAGAATGAAAACTAACCATCTTGTGTTACAAGAGGGTAATCCGAAGCACTGAGGTTCACAAACCAGTCCCAATTCCCACCTTCTTTAAGCAAGATGGCAATGGCCTGAAGGGTACAAGCAATCATAGTGGGTCCTTTATAGGTCACCAAATTTGCTTGTGCCATTACAATCACGTTCTTCACCTCTCGGAAAACAGGATCTTCCTTGACATATATGGCAAGGTCAATTCTCTCTCTAGGTGGAACCTCAAGATCCATGTGCAATATATACCGATTTCTTGGGTGATAAAGAGCCTGTAAAACCCTTCTAATTCTTGGGCCATCACCCTTTGTACCAGCAATAAGGTAAGCTATTCTTGGAGGTTCTGAAACCCTAATTGGGGGCTTTTGGTTCTTCAAATCAGATTCTACAAAGTAACCAACTGGGTCATCTGTCCTCGAAAAAGAAACGAATTTTAGAGAGAGACTATTGTTGCTGTAAGGGGGGGAGAGAAGACCAAATGCAGCAGCAAGGAGGAGAGTGAGGGACACAAGCGAAGTAGCCATGAAAGGAAGAAGCCATCTTCTATCACTGAATGGCCTCCCAGAATGATTATTACTGGTTTTCCTCATTTTCTCACAAGTAATGAAGAACCCAACAAGCCAGAAATTTCTGTTTCTATAGAGAAAAGGGCATAAAAAGGCCCCCAATATGGTTGAACAAATATATCTCATTCATGTTTCTGAATCAGAGTATCCAAAGTGAGAAATTGGGGTTGAAAGGAAAGACAATACAAGGAAAGAAAATGAGCTAAAACAGAGCAATAAGCACATGGAAAATCAAAATTTCCTTTTCTAAAGTTGGGTTCATTAGAAAAGAGCAAAACGGGAAAGAAAAAGGGCTAGAACAGGGCAAGAAATACATGAAAATATAGTTTTTTTTTTTTGCCCTTTACCAACGAGCAAACAATGTTATAGAGTATCCATCAAGCAACTGCAAGATTGGGTCGAATGTAAATACAGAGCTAAAGCCTGTGGAGCTCCAGATTTGAATCAAATTAACTTTTCATGAAACCACAGTATCATGAATGACCCTTGAATTAGTTTGAAGGTACGAGCAGCTATTTGCATCTATCAGTATATGAGATAGTATTTTCTTCTCTTCCATGATCAGACGACAAAAGTAATCCCTAAAAATAAACCATGAAAAACGCGACTAGCAAAACCTGAAGACCAAATCCCAAAAAACCATACTACAGGGAACTACAGAAAGAGGGAAGAGAGAGAGAGCGAGAGAGAGAGGGGGAAGATACATGCGGTAGGTACCATCAGTTTTAGTTCTAAATCTCGTACCCAAAGAGAGAGAGAGAGAGGGGGGGGGGTGGAGAGAGCGATTACTTGTCGGTGCACTGGAACTGTCGGTTTCCTTTTTCCCAAAATTTTGTCTTGCAAGAGCTACCTAACCGTGCTATTCATATTCGCTTCGAAGGGTGAGGAACAGAAGGATTACAGTGCTTCGGCCGGTTTGGTTCGGTGAGGTGAAGGATTTGGGTGTTTCGGTACATTCGAAAGAAGTTTTAATTTTTTTTTAATTTAATATTAATAAATTTGATATTTATGTATAATGTATATATAAATAATAAAAAGAATTAAAAATTTAAAAAGTACAAAATTAAAAATATTAAAAATACTTGTATAAAGCTATTTTTTTTACTGGCCAAAGCAAATATGAAGCTTCCGAATAATCCTGAAGCACTCCAAATCTTGCTGAAGTGAGTGATTTTCTCTTCGTTTCGCTTTGGTTTTGTGTAAAAAACCGAAAGCTTCGGCCGGTATGGCCGTAGTGAAGCAAACTTGATAACATTGAATCAAACAGATGTACAAGCACTTCAAAATATTGAAGTTTGTATGATGTGTTGGAAGAATTACTTTTTTAGAATTTGAAATTCTTTTTTTATCATAGTCATTAATTTCGAGGTCGAAATTATCAATTAAAAGGTTTTTAAGCATCGAAACAACCTTCTCTAATGAGTTTTTTTTAAGTACATTTTACTTCTAGTATGATTGGCATCTTATATAAAAATTTTCCTAACTTAAAATAAATTATAGTTGATGAGCACTTTAATAAGAAGGCATTATGATCCTGTAAGACCTGGGCTCCACAATAAAAATTAAAAAGAAAACGCCCATTTCAAAATCCATCACGAAATATGGTGTTGATCAAGGTTTTAAAAAATAGATTGTTGATCCGAATCACTAATATAGATTTTATATCTTTTGGTAGATCAACGATCTGGATCAGCCAACCAATCATTAAAATTTTAAAATTTAAAAAGCTGGGGCCGGTTCTGAGGAGTTGAATCTACCATTTCATGGGGCGAACCAGCCAATTCTCGATATTTAGTAGGAACCGGTTTGGCGACGAGAAGCCAACTTGCTCCCATCAACCTATTTATAACATAAAATGAAGGAACATTGAGTTTTCAAAGAAAAATAGAAGGCCTTTTGTTTGAGTATCTTTAAAAAATAAATACTTATTTAGTGACAAGCAACTTTTTGCAAAAAAAGAGACTGCTAACTTAAGGGTGTTTTTTTATAAGGGTGTGGTTTGTATTTGGCTGAGTCCCTAAACAATCAAAGTAAAGCATACTTTTAAATAGTGTCTAAAGATGTTGTTTGACTACTAGAAATCTTGGTGATGGCCTGATTTTCATTCTCATCTCTAACCATAAAATTTAAAGTTTCACAATCAGTGTAGATCAAGCAGATTTATGAATACTTGAAAATTTTGAAAATCAATGGTTTAAAAAGTACATTACAAGATGCACTATTTTTATGTCCATACATCTTGAGATCAAGATGATCAATTTGAGTATTATTGTACATCGAAACATCTTCTAATGAATTTTTGAGGCGCGCTTTTTTATTGTTTAGCGTCCCACCCTCATATAAACCTTTTCCATATAATATCTTGGAAGTAATAAGATAGAACTGTGGTTGTTTTAGGATTTCATCCTCTATTTCTTCTTGTAAATAAGCTTGAGCTTTCTATTGGTTACTTGGTAGTGAATTTTCAAATATTATCAAATACAATGTTGTAGGGTAATACAAAAGTAAAGGTGGGTAAGATTGGTGTGTGGTCGGTTCGCTAAATTTTTCTTTGAAAGAAATTTCCTAAGTTGATGTTTGTTGTGTTCCTAAGCCATGACATTGAATTCCCCTAAGGGAGAGCATGAAATAAGACAATTTATCTTTCGTACAAGATGGTCACATTATTCTTGGCCATTGGATGTGAAATTGGGTGGCTGCAATTATTTCATTGACCAAGCTCAAACTTCAAAAGAAATTTTTTCAAACTTTTTGACACATCCAAGCTATCAAATTTTACATCGGATGGTTGTGTAGTAATTGTAACCACCTTGTATCAAAGGTAAATGGTCTCATTGAATACAATCCCTTCCTCTAACACTATTCGCAATTTCTAAGTTGGGAAAAGTAGAAGCAATTTGAGTTCCTCTTAACACCAAATCGATATTTCTAGCATGGGAAAGTTGCATAATTTTACATTTCATAATCATCATCATGATCATCGTCAAAGCCTTTTCTCAAGTAATTAGGGGTCGGCTATATGAATCATAGTATGTCGTTCTACTCTATTGATAGTCATATTATTAGTGGGGTTATAAGTCTTTATATATTTTCTCACTACTTTCAACCATATCCTTTTGAGCCCATTTCTTGCTCTTTTTTAGCCTTCCACTTGAATTAACTCGCACCTCCTAACAGGTATTATACCGGGTTTGCAACACACATGACCAACCCACCTAAATCTACTATTTCTCTCATCTTATTTCTTATTGGTACTACACCTAAATTTTTCTGAATATATTTATTTCAAATTCTATCCATGCTTATCTTGCCACTATATTTCCAATTAAATAGACGTAGTATCCATTCCCCATAAATATTCATTTTGATATGGATCTTTTTTTAATTGTTTTGCACGAAATGTATCCTTACTGAGAATGTATTTTAAAATTATGGAAAATGTGGATGTCGTGCATGATTCTTAAATAAAGAAAAATGAAAAAAGCTTGCGCTTGGGAATATTTAGAGGGAATGGATACTACGTTTATTTAACCGAAAATATAGCCTCCTAACCTTCACATAGAGAATGCTTATTAAAGAGCCAACATGATATTTGTGTTTATTGTATATCACATGTGTCAACACACTAAACATATGACACATGTTTCTAATGCTTTAGAAACTGAGATATTTTTTTTTTTAGCTTTTATTTTTATATCTTCGTAATAAAAAAATTTAATATCACTTAATTTCTCACTTTCCTTTATTGAAATATTGTAGTTAAAAAAACAATAATAAAAACACATTTTTGAGACACATTACCTTGATACTCATTCGTGTCCCAACAGCATGTAGAGAGATGGCCTAGCATTTGAGACAAATGGGAGTTGGAGCTTTTCCAACTTTCGAATATGGAGGACCGGGCTATCATTTAAAATAATCTTGGGGATTTTGTGTAATTTGCAATTTTCAATTGCGCAAAGTGGCTCAGTTTATATAGGTTTGCAACCTTAAAATATAGAATTATTGATGCACTTAAAAACTCCATCGAAAAAATGTTGTTTGAGAAAAATCTTTAATTGATCATCTTGATATCGAGAAGTATGAATATGAAAAAAAAAAAAAGATATTAAGTGCTAAAAATAGTGTATCTGACAATACATTATCTAGACCGTCCATTTTCAAAATTTTCATATATTTATAGATCTATTTGATTTGAACCATTTTTGAAGTTTACAATTTTATAATTAAATATGAAAATAGATTTCGAAATAATCTTAAATATTTTTTTCACCAATTATATGTTATGATAAAATTTGAAGGTGTACCTTAATTAAATTGTTTAAAATTGCAACCTTATAAAAACCACACCCTTTTTGCATTGATGTAGTGGGGTCGAGTTAAATATTTCCCAATCTCCTGACTCGTCTATGGCCCACTATGATTCAACTTCAATCTTTCACCTATCAACGAGGTCCACCCCTTTTGATTTTGTGAGACAGCATCAATGTCAGGAATTAAAAAGCAGCCAAAGGGAAATAAATATGAATGCCAGGAATTACAAAACAGCCAAAGGTGAATAAATGCGGATATATAATGAGATTATCTACTTATACTATTAGATTTGAAATCCACAGGTAAATAAATGCGGATATATAATGAGATTTTCTACTTATACTATTGGATTTGAAATTGAGGGGTTAAGAATTTGTTATTTGTGTAAGCACATAGTTCAAAACAAAACTTCTCAAATGACATGACACACTTTCACCTATTGAATTTCACATCCACATGTGATTGTGACCTCATATAATTATTAAAATCATCTTTGTGAACGGAAAAAGTTTGTAGAAATCCATTTTCTGTTCAAATCTCGAGATTATTTAGATGTAAGATCTTGTAACTCTAGTTATTTGTGAAATGCATTTTAGCAATCCTTTCGGCTTATTTCGCATTAAATAAGATTTTCTATTTACTCTTTTTATTTTTCTACAGAAGTTTAATTCAAGGATGCACCTACATTCCTTGATAACAGAGAAGGTCACAGAAATGCTTGATATTAGAAAATTTAATAAGAAGACGTCACGACCTTCTGTTTGGATAATGAATATAATATAGCAACCAAAACTTGCAAAAGACAAAAATTTAAAAGTAGTCGATCTGGTTTAGACGTCGCCATCTGGATCTGAATCGCCGCTGGGTGTGTTACCAATGATGAAACGCCTAGTTCTTAGTAAGTACCAAGAGATCAAAGTGATTCTCTAATGGTGGGTTTGATAACTTTTTCAGTAGTTTTTTTGGGATTCTTCTATTGCTAATTCTTTTAGATTCTAAGAAGCGGATGAAAATTGGTATCTTGAAAGCTAGGACCTTATTAGATAAATTACGGTGCTAGTATTTTCACTTGCTTGGAATTGAGAAAGCTAGTATGGAAAAGCTAAGGTTAGCCCACTAGCTAACCACTACAATGTTAACCGAACGGTTTAGATTGCCGATCTGATGGTTACGACCTCATTTAATAAAAATTTTAATATTTTTTTACAAATCCAAATCACATAAAATTTTAGCTATCCATTATTTTCATAAAGGTGTACCTAATAAAATGCTAAAAAATATATATAATATAATATATTATATATTATTATGTTATTATATTTTATATTATATTATATCATAATATATCATTATATTATTATGTTATAATATCATAATATTACTGTTTATACTCGAAAAATATCGGTAGGGAACGCGGTACCCGCTTTGATTTTAGGTGTAAACTTGTCAAAGGAGTTGATAGAGAAAGG